CTTCCCCAGCCCCCGCGCCGCCCCGAGCGGTTTCGTCTTCCCAAATTGAAACTCTGGCCCCACTAAACACCAGCTCCCCACCCTGCAGCCACCATCTACTCCTGTCTCTATGGATTCGCCGCCTCCAGGGACCTCCTAGGAGTGGAGTCATGCAGCAGCTGCGCTTTGGTGCCTGACTTCTGTCACTGACCTTGACGTCTTCAAGGCTCATCCGCGTGGTCCCTGAGTCAGGACCGAGCTCTTCTGTGAGGTTGAGAAGCTTCCCTCGTGTGGGTGGGCTGAGTTTTGTTTATCCATTGGCTGGATTTTGGACATTTGGGTGATTTCCATTTTTTGGCTATTGTGAATGTTGCTGCCATATCTGTTTGAGGCCCTGCTTTCAAATTTAGGGGGATAGGGCTTCCCCAGTGGCACAGCGGTTGAGTGCTGGGTTGTGAAGCTGCCCAAAGCCTCTGCAGCGCCGGTTCACCCCCAGCTGCTCCCCGGCCACCAGAGGAGGGTCCCACATGGCGCGCAGACCTCTCCTGCCACCCGCTGCTCCCCTCAGCAGTGTACTTCGGTCCTTCTGCCTGCTCTGCTCCCCGCTCTGGCTCTGGCGAATTCTCTCACCCTCCCGCCCTTCTGACTGTACCCAGTGCTGGTATAAATCAATCAATCAATCAATCAATCAATCAATCAATCTTAAAAAAAAATTTAGGGGGATATACACCTACAAGTGGAACTGCGGGCCCACGGGGTAAATCTGCATTTGATGCTTTGAGTGAGCAGACGGCTTTTCACAGAGGCTGCACCGTTTACACTGCTGCCAGCAGTGCCCAAGGGTCTGAATTTCTTAACATCCTCGCCAACACTGAGTATTTTCTGTTTTGTTTGTTTTGTTTGACGGGACTCTTCTAATGGGTGTGATGTGATACTTTGCTGCAGCTTTGCTTTGCCTTTCTCCCACGACTAGAGATCCAGGGAGTAACAGAGGCTGCTGAATGATCAGCTGACCCCAAGCTTTGGAAAGGGGGGCAGGTAGAGACAGAATTGAGGCCCACACCCTCAGCCCCAGGGAATCCAAGAACAGTGAAAAAAAAAAAGGAATAACACACAAGGCCAGGAGTCCAAAGAAGAGGTGGCACAGGACTCTTGCCACTGCAGCAGGTGAGTCAGTCCCCTGGCTCCTGCCCATAGCAGCAACAGGACACCCCCCTCAACCATCCCCACTCATGCAGTGGTGGAACCAGAGCACAGCAGCTGACCGCCACCTCCAAGGAGGTGAACAAAAACTAAAGTCACAGCACCACCTTCTGGGCAGAAAAGGAAGTGCAGGTTATTACAAAGCTGCTGAATTAAAATTAACTCAGAGAGGTGTGACAACAGCCCCCAAAAGAAGGTAGACGCTCCACATGTGAAGACAGAGGAATATACCTCCAAGTGGCATGAAGCTACATGATATGACATCAAAAAAGAGGATGATAACTCTCCAGAACACAAACTGGATCTACCAGACAGAGAATTCAAAATAACCATCAGAAAGAAACTCAACGCGAGCTAAGTCAGAGAAGCAATGAGCACAGGAATAAAATTTATAAGCAGAAGAAAAGACTGAAGCTGTAAATAAAAAACTAACGTAAATTCAGGATGTGAGGAACTCAATAAAAGAGATCAAAAGTGCCATAGAGGGCCACCCTGGTGGTGCAAGGTGTTAAGCACAGCACTGTGAAGGTGTCCGCAGCCTCTACAGCATGAGTTCGATCCCTGGCCAGGGAGCTGACCCACATGGCGCAGCAGACCTCTCCTGTCTCCCCGTTGCTCCCCTCAGCAGTGTATTTCAGTAGATCCACCTGTTCTGCTCCCCATTCTGTCTCTGGTAAATCCTCTCACCCCTCACACCTCTGGCTTGTACCCCAGATCTTGTATGCATAAATAAATATTTTTTAAAAAGCGCTATAGAGAGCTATGGGGATAGGATAGTCTTAAGGGGAAAAAATCAGTGAGCTCAAAGATAGAAACCCAGGAATGGGGCCTCCCTGGTGGTGCAGGGGGTTAAGCACAGCACTGTGAAGCTGTCCACAGCCTCTGCAGCACCAGTTTGATTCCCAGTCGGCCAGGGAGCCGACCCACATGGCACAGCAGATCTCTCCTGTCTCCCCGTTGCTTCCCATCTCTCAAGATTCTCTGTGTTTTCATGGTGGGTCATGCGTGTCTAGGTGTAGATCTCCTGAGTTTATCTGATTTGCACAAGTGCCTGAGGTTCCATTAATTTTTCTTCACTGCTTTTGCTGCTGTTGTTCACACTGAATAATCTCAATGGGCCTAACTGAATTTTTGCCAATCCTTTCTTTTGTTATCTGTTTTTTCCTCTTCAAGATCTTGCAAATATCCTTCCTCTTCTTGATAGTTCCCTGGCTGCCTCCCGACTTCCCTTCCTGAAAATCACAGAAATGTGTCCCTGTCCCTCAGATTTACCTGGTCTCTTCCTAAGCTTTTCCCCTGCACCGTGGAGCAGCCTCCAGTGCCTATGCCATCCCACCTTCCCAGGCTCGGTGTGCCCGTGGGCGCGGGCTCCCTCCTGCTGCCGGGCAGCTGCCCCCAGGGGTGCTTGGGGCCCACTCTGTGCCCAGCAGCCTGGAGAAGAGGGCTTTGGCTTCTCCCCCACTTCCTTAAACTCCACCAGTCCGTCTCCACTCGCCAGTGCAGCCAGTCCACCTAACCTGGACCATCTCTGACTGCCCAGAATTAAGGCCCACACCCTTCCCTCCTCCATTCTCTCCCTCGCCCCCAAGCAGATCTATGGTCAGTGTCAATGGCTGGTTTTTAAGTTTGTCTGTCTGGCTCTGCTTGGTTTTTCTGAATTCCACAAATAAATGACACCATCTGGTATTTTTCTGTCTCCTTTTGAAGGAAATAAATATTTCAGAATGGTCTTTCATAGAAATATAGAAAAAATTTATGATTAATTCTATTATCACAAATGAACAAGGAAGTATTTTCTTTTCATGTATGTTCAATTTTTAAAAAACTTCGTACCTTTATTTTTACATTCAAAATGAGACAATATCATATTAAATGCACTGACACAAGTAGAACAAGAGTATAGTAGCCACAGATCTTTTGTTATAACTGGCATCATTTTATTTGACTTCATTCGTCTTCTATATATTAGAAAACTTTTGCTCCTGTGTAATTTTATTATTTTGAAAATGTTTTAAAAACAGAATAGGGGGCCTCCCCGGTGGCACAGCGGTTGAGCGCTGGGTTGCGAAGCTGCCCGCAGCCTCTGCACCGCCGGTTCAATCCCCGGCTGCTCCCCGGCCACCGGAGAAGGGTCCCGCATGGCGCGCAGACCTCTCCTGCCGCCCGCTGCTCCCCTCAGCCGTGTGCTTCGGTCCTTCTGCCTGCTCTGCTCCCCGCTCTGGCTCTGGTGAATTCTCTCACCCGCCCCCCCTCGGCGCTTCTGACTGTACCCAGTGCTTGTATAAATAAATAAACAAATAAAAAAAAAGTTTTTTTTAAAAAAAAATAAAAACAGAATAGAGTAATAGAGTAAGAAGGTGTCTCCCTATTGTCAAGAAATAATGAATATTAACTCCAGGAGAGTGTTGCTTCTAGTCGTGTTCCTTTGTGTTCTATTTTTAGCTGAGGTCCTATTAGGGTACCCCCATCAGGGGTCGCCACCAATGTGCTCCCTCCACCACATCACCCCATTCCAGCACCTGGGCCCAGTGCTCCCACTTCTTGGTGCTCTTCCTCTCTCCTCCCCTCGCCCCCCTCAGGGTCAGCGTCTAAGGGCTGGTTGTCAGGCTTTTCTTTTCTAACCCTTGGTCGGTATTCCACCTATTAGTGACACCATCTGTTCAGTAATGTGTCTTCTTTAACTCATGAAACAGTATAATGTTAAAATGTTACTGATTAAAAGAATCAAAATTTTGGGCCTCCCTGGTGGCCTAGGGGGCTCAGCACTGTCACCTCTATGGCCTGAGTTCGATCCTTGGTCAGGGAGCTACCGACAGGGCGCAACAGACCTCTCCTGTCTCCCCTCTGCTCCCCTCAGCAGTGGATTTCAGTCAGTCTGCCTGTTCTGCTCCCCACTGTCTCTGGTGAATCCTCTCACCCCTGTACCTCTGGCCTACACCCCCATTCTTCTACACTAAATAAATAGAATCAAAATTTTATCTCTCTCTCATGAAATGCTCTACTTATTTGAACTTATTTACCAGCTTTCTAAACTATTTGACCTTGCAAAATCAGCCTTCCATGACAGCCACGCTGAGATAGAGCAGGAATTAGCACAATGGCAGCAGCCCCACTATACCCATTCAGTATTTCTGAAAAACAGCAGTGCATGTTCCAGAACATGCACCAGGTGCCACTAGTTTTAAACTTCTCTCTTATCTAACAGGTCAGGGGTCATGCACCAGGTGCTACTAGTTTTAAACTTCTCTCTTATCTAACAGGTCAGGGGTCAGATGCTTCTGATAAACAGAATTGGCCAAACCTCATCAACCCAGCCTGTAAATTCCTGCCCCTTTTGTGAAACAAAAGTGGTCCAAACCCTTTCAGGGTCCCACCTGTGAGCCTGTCCCCCTCAAACGAAGCACGTATTCTTAGCAGCAGCCTCAAGCCCCACGGGACCCGTCTCTGGGCCTGCAGCGCCCACTCCTGTGTCCTGTCACGGCAAGGAAGCCTGTGTCTGCCTCACCTCCGCTGACTCCCCGCGAATCTCTCCTGCGGGGAAGTCAGAACCTCGGGGTCCCTCCGCACCCTGGGCCCCAACAAGATCAAGGGCAGAGTAAGCATAAGGAACAGTGTACCGGCCCCTAAAGGGCTTCGCTTAGAAGACACTCTCCTCACTCCCGGCCTGCAGCTCAAACCACATCGCCGAGTCTGACTTTACAGGACACGGGAGGTGGGATTCTCCAGGGCACGAGACACATCCTGAATCAGCAGTAACAGCGACTGCAGACGTGTGCACAAAATCAAAACCCTGGTCAAGCCCCGCAGCTGTGGTCAGAAGGCGGGTGGCAGCCGAGGGAGGCCTGTTCCTGCCCCGCCTGCTGCAGGGCGGAGCTGAGCTCAGCAGGCCTGGAAGAGGCTTCTGGGGAAGCCCTGGGGGAGGCAGCTGGAGGGAGAGACAGTGAGGAAGCCGCGCCTGCTTCTCAGCCCGGGGCTGTACCAGGTACTTGGGGGACACGGAGGGAAAGAGACGTGGGTGAGAGGCCCGTGGGGCGGCTGACGTGGCGGCCTTTGCCTTGGCTTGGCCTCTTTGTGCCTTTCCTCCAGACTCGCCCGACCCCTCTGCCCCTTCCCAGGGCCCCCCCAGAGGATGCTTCAGACTCGTGAGGCTTCCGGGCCTCAGTGGCCCTGCCCTGGGTGAGCCCTGCTGGCCGGGCCTCGCCCGTGCGGGGCTGGAACTTTGGGAGCCGCATCTGGAAACTCTTCCTTCTCCTCTGTCCGCCACACACGCGTTGTGCGATGGTTCCTTTCCCCTGAAGGCCTCATGCGCCAGCGTCTGCTTTGTCTTCGTGGGGGGTGGGGGTGGCAGAACCCGTTTAGGGCGGGCAGGGGTGGGGTCCTGGGGTGCCCCTCATTCTGCCCACTAACAAGACATGGATTGTGGGTCAGGGTTTGAATTCCGTTTTGCCACTTGTTTCCGCTGCAACTTTAGAAAGGTTTTTGGCCTTTAGGGTCTCCGTTTCCTCACTTGGAGAATGGAGAGAGTGATTGCTCCTCTCAGGACGGCGACACGGGCGTGGAGCGCAGGGAGCGCAGCTCACCCGCTCCTCACACAGCAGCCGTGCTTTCATGCACGTTCCAACCCTCTCTCGCCATGATCCAACCACACGCACGCAAGCAGCACAAACCCACACCAAACCCACAGAACTGGCTAGGGGAACCATCCGTTATCTACAAAGCCGTAGCGGATGCTCCAAGTCCCCGGGTGGAACTCACAGTGCGGACAGAAGGAAACCCGGAGCGGGCCTCCCCGGTGGCGCAGCGGTTGGGCGCTGGGTTGCGAAGCTGCCCGCAGCCTCTGCAGCACCGGTTCGAACCCCGGCTGCTCCCCGGCCACCGGAGGAGGGTCCCGCATGGTGCGCAGACCTCTCCTGCCGCCCGCTGCTCCCCTCAGCAGTGTCCTTCGGTCCTTCTGCCTGCTCTGCTCCCTGCTCTGGCTCTGGTGAATTCTCTCGCCCTCCCGCGCTTCTGACTGTACCCAGTGCTTGTATAAATAATAAATAAATCTTTAAATTAAAAAAAAGAAAGAAAACCCGGAGCACAGCTTCTGGACGACAGAGAGAGCAGAAAAGTCATCACAGAGAGCCTGGGGCTATTCGTTGTTTAAAAGGATTGAAAAGTGGGAGCGAGACAAGGCGGAGATCGAGGCAGGGAGAACAAAATGGCTTGAATGTTCCGGGAGTAAGACCTTCAGGCTAACGCATGTCCCAGGAGCAGCCACCCTCGTTTCGTCCGGGGCGCGCGGCTCCGTCACAGACAGGAGGCTGCTCTGCTGCGGAGCCTCCCCAGGGCCCCCTTCACATCCTTGTTCCTCAGGCTGTAGATGAAGGGGTTCAGCATGGGGGTGACCACCGCGTACATCACGGAGGCCACCGAGATGCTCCCGGGGGAGTGAGAGACGGCGGAAGTGAAGTGCACCCCAACCCCTGTCCCGTAGAATAAGGAGACCACCGACAGGTGAGACCCACAGGTAGAAAGTGCCTTTTGCTTCCCTGCAGACGAGGTGATCTTCCTTAATGAGGACGCGATTCTCGAGTAGGAAAAGAGGATCACGACGAGGGGCAGGACACCCAGCAGAGCCGTCATAAAGTAAATCAGCGCGTCGTTCAGGCCGGTGTCTGCGCAGGCGAGCCTGAGGATGTGCGTCAGCTCACAGAAGAAATGAGGCACTTCGAGGGCGCCACAGAAGTCCAGGGGCATCATCAGAGAGAGGTGAAGGAAGGAGGTCATGATGCCCACGAGCCAGGTAACAAAGACCAGGAGGCCACAGACGCGGGGGTTCATGATGACCATGTAGTGCAGGGGGCGGCAGATGGCCATGAACCGGTCATAGGCCATGATGGTCAGGAGCAGCGTGTCCAGGACAGGGAAAAACATGGAAAAATAGACCTGCGTGAGGCAGCCCCTGCGGGAGATGGCTTTGTTCTCCGCGTGGATGCTCGCCAGCATCTGGGGGACTATGGTGGTGCTAAAGCAGATGTCCACAAAGGACAGGTTGGACAGGAAGAAGTACATGGGGGTGTGCAGGTGGGGGTCGGAGCTGATGGCCAGGATGATGAGCAGGTTCCCAAGCACAGTGACCAGGTACATAGCCAGGAACAGCCCAAATAGGAGGGGCTGCAGTTCTGCGTCCCCAGAGAACCCGAGGAGGATGAATCCTAAAAGTCTGCTTTGGTTTCGAGCGTCCATGGAGCTGCCGTACCTGTGAAGGAAGAGAGGACCCAGCGTGAGCTGTCAGGGAACCGGCTCCATCCCGCCAGCGAGAGAGCTGGCCGAGCTCGCCCTGCGGGTTGTCTGGGAAGTTAGCCATTTGGTCTAAGAGTCGGTTCTCCTTTCAGTCATAAGTTAAATCCTAAAAAAAGTGAATTATCTTATCCCAACCCCCAATTGTAAGAACTGATTTTACGACAAAATCAAAATGCAATTCCACACAACGGAGCTCTAGCATCCGGGCTGCCTGCCTAAAGCGCCCACCCATCTCCTGACAGCCCTGTGGAGTGTTCTGGGAGCCTATAAATGGGGCAGATCCGCATGCTGTGCCCCGGCTGGGGGCGTGAAGAAGGACGGAACTTCCCTGCTGAGGGAGGCCTTCAAAAGATGCAGGACTTCCACGCGGCCGCCAGGGGACACCAGAACGGCGCAAATGGAAGGACGTTGTGTTGCCACAGCCCTGGGCCCTGAGAAACGCCAGCGCCGGTTAATGAGAGTGTTCCAGATGAAACCAGGCCAAAGAGACGAGTCAACCGAAGGTAACGCATAATCTCCGGTTTCTTTTGCTTTAGATGAATCGTTAGGATAATTGTCTAAGGACAACGAGTTCTGTAAATTTGATCATGACATAGCATCAGTGTTAATTCCCTGATTTTGGTCATTGTGTGTGGTTATGTGAGACAATGGCCTTGTTCTGGGGGATACTAGAGATGTAGAGGCAGAGTTCCCATATCTGCAACACAACTTACTCTCAAATGATTCAAAAAAATCACTCTCACACACACAGGAAAGGGAGAGAGAAAAGTGCATAAAGAAAAATTTTAGTACAATAAAATGTTAACACTTGGGATGTCCATTAAAGGATATCTAAGGAAACTGTTTAGTGTTCTTTCAACTTTTCAGTAAATCTGAAATGACATCCAAATAAACAAAATTTAAGTAGCACTTTCAGATCATGTCACAGTACAAAGAAGAGAAAAGGAAGAAAATCTGTGGGTGAAATATTGTGAGAAAACTCACACAGCACCACAGCTGAGATCCCCCCAGTGACACTCACCTGCAAACCCCAACTCACTGGATTTCGGTCTAAAGTGGTCCTGGGTGAAGCGCACACTGGCTCCCGGGCAAGCCCAGATCTTCTCTGGAAGGTGCTTTCATCTGAGGACTTTGGCTCAGTGTCCATAAGGGCAATTAGTCTGTGGCTTTCTCTCCTTAAACACCTGTGCACGCTGGTTACTCCCAACCTGCGCTCTTACTAAGCGCCTCATCCATCTTTCACTTCTGGAGTGCCAACCCCTTTAAGTTCATAAGATTCTAAAAATGCGATTTTTAGATTTTTCCCTGCCATGCCTGGGCAGGTACCGCCCTCCCTGTCATTAAGAATAAAAGGAAGAAAATTCCAATAAGTAGAATTAGAAATGAACTTTCAACAGACATCTACGATATACAGAGGATCATAAGAGGCTACTATGAATATCTTTATGCCAATGTATTAGATAATCTAGAAAAAATAAACATGTTAGAACTATACAAACTTCCAAGATTGAATCAGGAAGAACAAGAAAACCTGAATAAACCAATTATAAGCAAGAAATTGCAACAATAATCAAGTCTCCCCCCCAAAGTAAAAGTCCAGAAACAGTTTCCCCAGTGACTTCTACCAAACCCTTAAAGATGAACTATTACCTAATCTTATACTCAGTGACTTCCCAGAAATTGAAGAAGAGGGAATGCTTCCAAATCCATTTTATGAGGCCAGGATCACCCTGATGCCAAAAGTGGACAAAGGTCTGTTTTTACCCTAATGCCAAAAGTCACACACCATGACCGAGTGGATTTATTCCAAGGATATAGAAATGGCTCAACATAAACAAATGAATTAATGTCATCCACTGCATCAGCAAAAGTCATGACAAAACCATATGATCCTCTCAATAGGTGTGGAGGAAGCATTTGACAAGCGCCAACATCCATTTATGTTAAAATTATGCACAAAATGAGGATAGGACTATCCCTCAATTTAATGAAGGCCACATATGCCAGACCCAAGGTAACATAATACTCACTGGTGAAAACCAAGCGTTTCCTCTAAGATCAGGCACAAGAAAAAGATGTCCTTTCTCACCCCTATTGTTGAGCATAATATTGGAAATCTTAGTCTTATTAGGCAAGAAAAATATATGAAAGGAATCCAAATTGGAAAAAAAAATAAAGCATCACTGTGTTCAGATACCATGATAATATACATTAAAAACCCTAAAGACCCAATAAAAACTATTGGAAAAAATAAGTACAGTAAAATGGCAGGCTACAAAATAAAAACAATGTATGTTGTGTTCCTATATGCAAACAGACTAGAGGAAAAAGAAATCAAGAAAACAGTCTCTTTACAATCACTGCAAAATTAAATACCTTGGAATAAACCTAGCAAGGCAAGTGAAAGACCTATATGATTAAAAAAAAAAAAGCAACTGTGAGGTTTTATTAAAAGAAATGGAAGACCTGAGCAATGGAGAGATAGTCCTTGCTTATGGACTGGAGTAATAATGTTAAAATGCCAATACAGATTCAACGCAAGTCAGTTAAAATTTTCATGGCATTCTTCAAAAAAAATAGAGCAAACATTCTCAAATTTATATGGCAACACAAAAGACCCTGGTCAGCCACAACAACCCTAACAAAAAAGAAACTGGATACCACATTCCCACACTTCAAACAGCAGTGCAAAGCAGTAGTAATCAAAACACTATTGCATTGGAATAAAAACAGGCACCCAGAGCAATGGAATAGAACTGAGCCAGAAATACAGTGTTGCTGCAATAAAAAAATGATACAATTGAAAAATGGTCACTATCAGTTGCTCTTAAGATTGTCTGTTTACAAAACTAAGGAAAGTCAACCTTAGACACAATTATACTAACATCATCAGCTTTCTATGTCCCTGCAAACCATCAGTAGGGTAGTTTAGAGGGTAAAAAAGGTCCATTCTCAATGGTACTGAAAAAGCACAGCACTCCTGGCAGAGTGCTCATCCAGTCCTTATCTGTGGACTCAAAAGGTATCTACAACCTCTAGAAATATACAATGTATAGAAATCAAACCACAGTTGGGAGTGGAGGAGAAGCAGGTGTTTTGCTGGAACAGACTGTTGGGCCCACCCCCAGAGTTTCTGGCAGCGGACATTGGTCGGGGTTGAGAAGTGGGTTTCTAACAAGCTCCCAGGGCGCACGGGTGGTCTGCTCCAGAGGCCCACCTCGAGAACTGTGCCCTGGAGAACCAGGAGGTGCTGGCAGTGGTCTGGAAAGCCTGAAGAAAACCACATACCTGTGCTCACGGCAATTCCCAGTAATAGCGAAAAGGTCACTGGTTTCGCGAAAAGGTCACTGGTTTCCTGAAGAGAGAAGGTGCTCCTGCCTCCCCCACTGCTTTCCATCCTTCTGCAGCAGGGCAGTCACTCCGGGAGCCGACTCACTGGGCTGTCACTGCTCCAGGAGCGGCACTGCCCTGCCCTGGGCGCTGCAGACAGGCCATCGGGAAGGCACAGGGCATCACAAAGTCATGTCTGTGGGAGCTCAGGTGTGGGCTCCTGGCAGCGGTCAGTAAGTGATGGGGCGGCATCTAGGCAGGTATTTATGGCTTATCAAGCCCAGCAGAACCATTTCTTATTGTTCCTCATTACATAAATTGCTCCTCTGACATGCAGCCCACTCGGGCAAAGGACCACCTGCAGAACACTGCCTGTGTGCGGATTCTCTCTGCAGAAAGGCAGCCAGGGGCACCAAGGCTCCACCCCCCACAAACCTCCTCCTTCTTGGGAGCACTTTTATCTCTATTGATTTGGCCTTGAGGGAAATGCGGCTCCTTTGTGAATGTGTCTCGGAAGCAAAGCCTCATCTCCCCATGACCACGGTTCTCTGGGGCCCAGAGTGACACAGACATGTTTTCTGTGGACGAATCCCTGGTGGCTGCATCGTGACTCTCTACGCTTCAGGTTGGAAGATGCCATGGAGCTAAGTCAAGTCTTGTTTCAAGAGAGGGAGAGTCAACCTGGAAAATGTCCCTGCGCTGAGGACGGGCAGGCTCCTGGTCATAGGCCCGGGGGAGCAGAGGTTAGAGCAGCCTGAGGGGGCAGAGGCGCACTGCACCCACACCCTTCAGTGGGGCCTGGTGTGGCGATACAGGGGGCCTGCTGTGGGCTGGCACGGGTCTGGGTGGCCGCAGGGAAGGCCAGGCCTCAGACCTGCCACAGCGGCCCAGGGGGCCACAGGCCTTCCTCCCAGGCCTCAGTTGCTACAGGGCTCCCTCAGCAGGGCCTGACACTCCTCCCAACAGCCCGGAACCAGGAGACACAGGGCTGGGGGCTGCCTCACTGCCAGAGCGCTGGGCTGGCCTGCTCTGAGGCGGGGACCCCTGCCAGGGCTGCTGAGGCCGCCAGGCCACCACACGCCACGCTCAGGCCTGTGGGTGCTGCTTCGGCCCTGGAGTGTGTTCTCTGAGTCCAGCACACGTGTCCTCTCACCACACCCGTGATCAAGCGTCCCGGCAGCGTCCACCACCAACCAATCATCACGTCTACCCACCCCCAGCCCCCCACCAGCCGTCACTCTGTCGTTGGAGTCTGAGGGTTTGTTATTTTTTGTTCCTTTTTTCCCTTTGCTTGATAGTTCACAAGCGAGTGGACTCACAGCACGTCCCTCTGCGGGCTTATCTCACTCAGCGTCACCGCCTCTAGGCCCATCCGTGTGGTGAATGGTTTGTATTTTTATTTTTTATCACAGTTCTCTTTATTTTTTTAATGGCGATACCATCTAGTATGCACTTACGTCACACGTCCATGACTCAGGGGAAGACTCACACCCCCCACGGCCCGTCACCCCACCCTCCCCCACCGCAGCGCCCAGGTCTTTCACCGTGAACCAGCCGACCCCCCTTAGCCCCACCAGCGCCCTCCCCCTGACTGGCAGTCACCTCTGCAGCACTGTTTCCGGGCTCGCCAGGCTGGCACTGGCTCTTCTGGGCCTTTTGTGGCACCACATGAGCGTCAGGAACGACTGTTCTGTTCTGTGAAGAATGTCCCGAGCGTTTTTCTTGGGACCGCGGTGACTCCGTAGGTTGCCCCGGGTAGGAGGCCGTTCGGCGGCCACTGTCCTTCCGGCCCGTCGGGTTTCGGGTTAGCCACGTCTGCAGTTCTGTGTCCAGGGCCTCCCCTCCTTTTGCGGGTTCACTCCTGGAGTTTCACTTGTTGCTGTGATTGTAAATGGATCATTTCCTTCGCCTCTTCCTCCGCTCACTGTTTGCGCGCGGGAAGCGCCTGGTTTCTGTGTAGTGACTGTGAGCGGCCACTCTGCCGAACCGGCTCTTTTGTTTCAGTTATTCTGCAGTGTCTCTAGGCTTCTCCGTGGATCCTGTCATGTTATCTAAATAGTGGCCGCTGCTGCTTTTCCAATTTGGATTGTGCTTCTCGCTTTTCCTTGCCTGCCTGCTCTAGCTGGGCCTGCCGGTGCTCCCTTTGTTGACTACTAGCGGAGAAAGAGACCTGACTGTCTTGGACAAGCTCCCAGGGGAAAGCTTGCAGTTTTCACCATGGAGAGTGATGTGGGTCGTGGGCTTGTCATACGTAATTTTTATTATGTTCCATTTAGCCCCAGTTTTGGAGGGTTTTCGTAACTCATGGATGTTGAATCTGATCAGATGCTTTCTTGGCAGCTATTGATATAATCATATAGCTTTTATCTTCCTTTCTGTTGATGGGGTGAACTATTTCTTTTTTAAAGATTTATTTTATTTATTTATGCTTATAAGAGCTGGAGTAGAGGCCAGAGGATCCAACAGAGACAGAGTGGGGAGCAGAACTGGCAGACTGACTGAAATCCACTGCTGAGGGGAGCAGCGGGGAAACAGGAGGGGTCTGCTGTTCCATGTGGGTAACTCCCTGGCTGGGGATCGAACTCGTGCTGCAGTGGCTGGTGATAGCTTGATAGTACTGAGACTAAACCTCTGTGCTACCAGGGAGGCCCGGTGGCGAACTATTTTTAGACTCCAACTATGGTGGCACCAGCTCTGTCTGCTTGAGTGTCTGGCCTGGTTGAAGCCTTTTAGGTGCAGTGAGAATCTCAGGCCCCTGCACCCCATGCCCAGCACAGCTGCAGGGCCCAGGGCCATGTGAGAACCCATTGGTGGGATCTGAACAGCAGGCCAGGGGTTCACTTTTGAACACCATGCTGGAATTAGAAACATACCAATCAGGCTGGAGCGCCCCTGTGCCATCTCTGGCACATCGGTGGCACCTAAGGAAAGATTTGGACTTCAAGAAAGATTTGGTCATTGTTTATTAGTAAAGAATATGAATCATCATTTGGCAGAATTTTTGAGGACTCCAATCCCAACCTCTTGTCTAAGTGCACTGGCGCGTGGAATGCTTTACAATCCTGAGATGCGTCTCGGTGCGTGAACACACGTGGACTTGCTACCTGTGTCCTTTCTTCTTGAAGCACAGACAGCAGTGCCCCAGGGTCATTTTGGCCACCTTTCGCGCATCCAAGAAATCCCTGTGCCTGCCCTGCCCGGAGTCCAGAGTCTCCAGGGTCCACCAGCCTGGGGTAGCCCGGGGAATGTCTACTCCTGGGGGGAGCTCTGTCTGCAGGACGGGCTGGAAGCTGCAGGAACACCTGGGCCTGTTCCCCGCTAGCCGGGGTGGTCCTGTGACAGCACATCTCGCCACCTGCCGGGTCCAGCAGGCCTCTGGACGGACCCCCTGCTGTGGGACAGCCGCCTCCGCAGTGCCGGCCTCTCGGCCATCAAGTCACAGCCGCCCGGTCACTCCCTCGTGGCCGAGCCTCCGGGGAAGGATTTGAATGTGAAACTCGCCGGCGCCAGAGCAGGTCTGCAGCCGCAGGGCCGGGGCTGCCCTGGGAGGACACTCTCGCCGTCCGCCTTGGTCTGATGGCGACCGTGGGTCGCCCCCTTAGTTCACGCAGCCGCAGCGCACAGGGAGGCGCCCTCGTGCTCACGACAGCGGCTGCCTCCCCGCGGGGCGACGCTCTGTTCACCTGCGGGCAAACCCCAGGGCGGAGGCCGGAGCGGTGGAGGGCGAGGGGTCAGAACAGGGGAGGGAAGGGCACCAGGGACTGTGGCGACGCTCATGGGGCTGTGGTGGGGGCGGAATTACGGGGCCTGCACCTGAGGGGGGCTCCGATGCTCTACCGCGGGCAACCACGGTACAGAAAACACAAACAGATACACAGCACAGCGGAGGGGCTCCGTGGCGTCTTCCCGTCACCTGCTGCTAATTCTACGAGACGGAAAGCAGAACAGAGAGAACAGAACAGCAGAGGAGAGATTTTAAAAATACTAGTGTTTGATCACTGTGTATTTAACTTCATAATGAAACAGCCTGTGCGTTTGCATCACAAGGTTCCAGTTCATATTTAACCAAAATATTCCAGGTACCCGCCAGCACCCCAGAGAGCATCATCTCGGCTCCCCTGTGAGACTCCCCGCCCCGGGCCCACGGCAGTCACCGCCTGCTCTAGCTGTGTGGGATCATTTTATTCCATCCGCGACTTTTCTCTTTGAAGCTGTGGCTAAGACTGTTCCTCCTGGTCCCCACCGTGTTGGCCATGCATGCACCTGCCCTGCGGGTCTTTCTGTCTGACTCTCCCTCAGGCGTTCCGCCCCGCAGTTTTTATTTATTAGTTTAGTCGCCGCCTCCCTCACCCACTTCCCAGTTTCCTCAGACCTAGAGGCGGATCCTCCCACAACCATGACAAACACAGGCCGGGGTTTCAGCGTCAACCCCCCTCCACCCCCCCATGGGTCCCGTTAACGTTGCTCAAAAGAACACACATTTTCAGAGTCGGGCCTTTGTGGTTCACTCCGCTCGCAGCGCCCGCTGTGTCACCCCTTCAGGTCGTTGTCAAATAACCCTCCTCAGACCCCCAGGTCACGCTGTAACAGCACCTTTGTACCCTCAAGCTATTTTCTAGAACTTTCCTTCATCACACCCGTTAGTCCCTGACATTTTCCCCTTTGGCCCGTCCTCTCTCCCCTTCCCTTGTACCCTCAGCCGCCTCGCTTGCTTCTCAGAGTCAGCAGTTTTTACAAGAACATTCCTTTGTTTTCTCACCCGCTATGGAAACAGATATTTGCCTTTGTCATTCTGCAGGTGTTACAGAGCATGGTGAGGGCACCCCAGAACCCCCACACCCGCCTCTTCTAAATAGGTTCTGCCATCCACCTCATCAAGACAAAACTCTAGCAGGTAAGACCTTTCATGGAAAGGAATTTTCGTGCACAGCAAAGAAAAGGGGAAGAAGGAAGTTTCCAAATCCAGCACCCGAAGTCCCCCCCATCACGCGTGAATGCCCAGCCCAACAGGGTTGGCCCAAAGCAGGGCCACTGAGGCCTGAAAGCCTCCCCCAGTCTAACGCTTCTCCTGCAGAGGAGCCATAGAAAAGGATCAGAAAAAGCCAGACTAGTCTGGAAGGAGGTGAAGCTGCCTGCGCGCCAGGACAGGCATCTGCAGGATGGGAGAGGAAGGGCAGGGCGACCCCGCTTTCTTTAAAAGCAGGACAAGCGGACCCCGCTCTCCATGGTTTGGGTCCTGCCTCGTGCGCTCACTAGCCAGGGTCTGTTTCTCCCCGAGGCGGGGCCATGGCTGCATTGCCTTTGTGGATGTGGGACACTCTTCCCCCCTGCAGGACTGCTGCAGTGAGCCCCCGCCTCTCACCTTCGTCTATTTGGCTTAATTTTTGTGTTAGTGTTTCAGGTTGCTTTCCTGAGCCGCCTCACGTCGTGCTGTCTCTACCCTCTCCAGACACAACTGCTCCACCACTTGCCTTCTGTGATTTGGCCAATGACGGCTCTCACCTTTGGAGATGTTGGCCTTTACTTGTGAAATGGTCAGGCCTGTTGTGCACGTTTCCATTACATTATATTTCACAGACATTTTACACACTTACCTTTATTCCTTCTGAAAAAAATCTATCTTAGCATGAATGTTAAATACAAAAACAAAAACAAAAAGTGTCGAGGAAACAAAGGACTCAGCAGCAATCCCTCGGATTTAGTTGCTGTCACTTTGTTTATCCCCTCAGTGTGTTTAAGAAACGCAAACAATGTCAGTCCCTGGTTATCAGTGTCACACAGTAACATGTTCTGTTGATAAGAAAATTGTGTATTCTGTTACTTTTAATGTCTGTGGACCTGTGCCTGTGCGTGTCTGTGGGTAAGAGGCCAATGTTGTTGACCTCTCTGTGTTCTCCTTGGCGTGTTCCCATTATTTTCTCCATTACAGGACGAGCCAGGAGCAGAAAGCATTTGCTTGGCATCTAAGTCATGCCTCGGGCGTTTACAAACACTGATTTGTTCTCCTTTAGCCTCTCCCAGAAAGCATTTGCCTTCAGTCTCCAGGCCAGTCGGAGGGAGAACAGACAACATTTATGCTCATCAAGCGTTTCTTCCTTTATGCATTTCTCATTTGATGATTGGGGAAAGGAAGATCGATTTAATTGCTCCATGTCCTTCGTGTCTACCCCGTAATCATTTAACCATGGTGGGGGGGTTTCATTTCCAGTGTTTCCAGCCAGTGTTACTGTGAAGAAAGGGCTGGTGAACATTTTCACACGTCAAGATTTTTATGTTTCAAAGCATTTCCTTAGGTCATCTCCCAAAAACAGAACCGCTCTTTCTATTTAGAGAAAATAAAAACATTTTGAATTCTGAAGGGTGGTAGGAACGATTTTCTCGGGAGCGGGTGCGCAGCCGCGTTTGGCCTCGTCCTCGCCGACATGTCCCTCCCCCTGTCCCCGGAGCTGAACACAGGCCCCACCTGCACCCTCGGCCGCCCCGTCCCTGTGCAGGGCTGTGTCTTCATCTCTGCTGCGGCAGCGCTGCTGCTTCTGCCCCCCCGCCCCCACAAACCCCCAAGGCGGCGCTGGGCTTGGCCGTCCTGGGCCCATTCCTGTCCCCGCGCTTCTGTGCGTTGCTCATCCTTGCCACGGGGGGCGCCCTCCGGCGTTTTTCTGCGCTTCGGCGCTCGGGCCCTTTCGCTCCCCTGCGGGCCTCAGTCCCTCTCGGCGTTTCAGGACCCGGGGCCGCGCCAGCCACTACCTGCGCTCAGCCGCTGCCCCTCCCGCCCCGTCCCCTGCCGCGCCTCACGACGCTCTCTGCATGCAGTCCCGGTCCTGCGTTCTCCCTCTGGGCCACAGGACGGCGACGTCCGTTCCTGCCCGTCTGCTTTTGCCGCAGGAGCCTCCCCTTCCTCCCACCACTTCCGTGTCAGCCCATTCCACTAGTCGCGATTTTCCCACGATACCACACCAGTCCACAAGAGGGCGCTCTCCGTCTATACACGCCATCTTTTGCCCCTGGAGCCTCTCCTTCCTCCCGCCACTTCCGTGTCAGCTTGTTCCACGGACCGCGATTTTCCCACGATACCACCCCAGTCCACGAGAGGGCGCTCGCCGATTTCACCCACTCTCATTTTGGTGAGGGAGCCTCTCCTTCCTCCCACCACTTCCGTGTCAGCTCGCGCCAAAGACCTCGATTTTCCCACGATACCACCCCAGTCCACGAGAGGGCGCTCGCCGATTTCACCCACCCTCACTTTGGTGAGGGAGCCTCTCCTTCCTCCCCCCACTTCCGTGTCAGCAGGACGGCGCTGTGCATTTCTTCCTAGCTTTGTTTTCCTCCAGCAATTTTCTTTCCGCGGCTTTTTCAGATTCGTAGCAATATTTGACGTCATTTCTGGCCTGTTACTAAGGGGTGAAAAAGAAAGGCACATGGGGCAAAGGGAGGGCAGGTGAAACGGAGAGCTCAGCCTAGTGGATTGGGGTGGTATCGTGGGAAAATCGCAGTCCTTGAATCAAGCTGACACGGAAGTGGCGGGAGGAAGGAGAGGCTCCCTGACCGAAATGGGAGTGGGCGAAATCGGCTAGCGCCCTCTTGTGGACTGGGGTGGTATCGTGGGAAAATCACGGTCCGCGGAACAAACTGACACGGAAGTGGCGGGAGGAAGGAGAGGCTCCAGGGGCAAAAGATGGAGCATACAGATGGAGAGCGCCCTCTTGTGGACTGGGGTGGTATCGTGGGAAAATCGCGGTCTGCAGAACAAGCTGACACGGAAGTGGCGGGAGGAAGGAGAGGCTCCAGGGACAAAAGATGGCGCGTATAGATGGAGCGCGCCCTCTTGTGGACTGGGGTGGTATCGTGGGATAAATCGCATAAATCGCAGTCGGGGAGGCGCACTGACATGGAAGTGGCGGGAGGAAGGAGCGACTCCTGGGGCAGAAGCAGGTGGCAGGTATGGCGGGCGTCGTCCTGTGGCCCGCGGGTGGGGTGACGCAGGGAGGACGCGGTCAGGGCGGGGCGCGCTGCGCAGAGTGAGGCGTGGGAGGGGCGGGGCGGGGGAAGGGGCCGAGCACAGGATGATCAGGGCGGGGCTGCCGGGGAAGAGACGCGGGGCGGGGCTGAGGGCCGAGTGGGGAGCGCCAGGGGGCGCCGCCTGGCGGCGAGGGCGAGCAACGCGCCCAGACGGAGACTCGCGGGACCGCCCCGAGGGGCACCGCGCAGGCGGAGGCGGAGGCGGGTGGTTGGCGTCGGGCCCTTTGGCCGGCAGCTGGGGAGGAAACGCTGGGAGGACGGGCCGGGACGCGTCCGCGCCTTCGTTTCTGAGAAGATGAATTCTCCCTCACACCACCGTTCCGCAGAGAAGTTTGAACTTAAATTTTTTTATTTTTGAATAGGAATAGGCATTCTATATTTCAGGAATGACCTAGGAAATGCTTTGAAAAACATAAAATATATGTAAAAATGTTCAGCAGCACTTTCTTTTTAGTAATAAATGGAAAAAATCCAAATAAAAGCTCCATGGAATGGTGACTTACAGCTATACATAAATGAAATGTAGCAGTTAGCTACAATAATTATAAAGTTTTTAATGTCGCAGGAAAATAGTTACAAAGTTAAATGATGAAAGGAGAATATAAACCCTCAGAGATAATATAATTCCACCATAGAAGAAAAATATTAATGAAATATGCTCTCTCCAATCCTTGTGTGTATGAAGACTAGAATGGAAAAATTATTACTTTGCATCAGGGAACATTATAAACACTGAAATTAGGCTCTTGCTGCATCCAATGTGGATTAATCTTGCCTACATATTGTTGAAAGTGCCAAGGTAGAAAATAAACATAATGTGATTTATTTAAATGTTAAATACCAAGATAGAAAATAAACATAATGTGATTTATTTAAATGTTAAATACAAAAATAATAAATAAATATTAAATACTAGACAAAATTAAAATCATGTTTTAATTATACATTTCATGACACATCCTTTGGTGATACAATGAAGAGCAAGGGAAATAATTTTGATGGAGGAAGAAGATTATGATGTGTTGTGATTTTATGTTTCTTGACCTGGTCAGCAGGAGGGAGTTCATTACTGCCCTTACACACAAATAACAATACTGGAAAAGACCAGGAAGAGAGTAAGCTAACTCATACAAATATGTGTGCTTTGATGGAAAAATCAGAGTTGACAATATTGTTCATTATATTTTACTTTTTAAAATTTCCATGATGTGCACACTCCCTTTTATTATCAGAACCAGTCAACTGAAGCTAATGAAAAAAATCATTGCTGAAATTGCCTCCCTGTTCCGTGGCAGGTGAGCAGTAACTGGTATATATATTTTTTAGTTTTCAGAATTTCAATGTGGTTATAGAAAAACATTTCAGGATGAAAATATGGGCTCTTGCTGGTCAAGCAGGCAGTGGGGAGGGAGCACCGTGGGCTGTGGTCAAAGACTGTGGAGCCTTTGGAGCTGGGTATGGTGTGGTGAGAACACCCGAAGGGGAGACCCTATAATCTAGTCATAAAGGATGCTGCAAACCTGTTTTGCCTCAATAAAATATGTGGGTCTTCAGAAATATCACCTTTAACCAGCTGACACTGTAACCCTCAAGGCTGTTATTTATTCTTTCAGAGGGGCAGGAAGACAATATTTTGTCTCATTCAGATCATGGGCCTAAATTTGAACCCACCCCTTCTTAGCTTAATGACTGTGGGCGCATGTCCCTCTCTGAGGCATCAGTATGGGCGATGACAGTGACACACCACAGGAATGTAAAGAACCTGAAACTATAATCCTAGGCCCATGATCTTCTTCTCTGAGAAGAAACATGACAAAACCCTGTGTGTTCAGGAAGAGACTGATGAATACCAATGTTACCCCATGCTGGGGAGTGTAGCTCACATTATCACTGCTTTGAATAAAAATTGTCAGCATTTCAGAGCCCTTCCTCACCCCATGCTGCCACCCATCCCAGCGTGCAGAGCACCCATAATTCGAGGGGTGGCAAAACAGTGGTTATGAGGACTCTGGGTTCACATTTGTCTTTGCCACTTACTAATGGCGTGTACTATGCACATGACTGAGCTGCTGTGCCTGTGTCCTCACCTGCTAGGATGACAACACACAGCCTGAGAGTTGTGGTATGGGGTGAATGTTACACATGAGAGCTCACACGTTTCTGGCATAAGCACTCAATAATCATTAGCCATCCCCAAGGCCCACGAGGGCCATCAGGGTGGGCACAAAAGTCCTGGTGGTTTGGGGTAGTGTATTATGCAGCAGGGACAGGCCACCTTCATTTCATCACACTCAAGGGTGTGGGTTGCTTTTCTAAACTGCAAATCACATCAAACATCAATTAATTTCCATCAACTTCTAATTAACATCTGAGGCTGATATAGAAGATGCTAATGCAGCTGTATCAGTACTATGTCATCTCTCAGTGCTACCCCTCCAGCTTTAAATCCTACATCAGATAGAGGATTCTCCTCTAATATGGCAATGGGATTTTTTTCCTGTGCCTTTGCATTCAGGATTTGCAATAGTTTTCAAATCTGCTCCTGACCACCAGAAACAAGCCCCCACTTGGCTTGCATCACTTCAGGACAGCTTTCATTGATTGTTCCAAGTTGAACATCACCTCCTTGGGGATGGCCTTACAAGAAAAGTAATAATAAAACTAAAAATTCCATTAAGTAGAAAATTAAAACACAAGACTGGTAACTTTAAGATACAGAAACAGTGACCAGAAGGTAAAATGGTAGAAACCACCTCCTCTATAATAAGAGATGAAATACTTAGGGAAAATTTAACAAGAAATGTACAAAACCTGTATAAACAGGTTTTTTTTTAACACTCCTGAAAAACATGAAATAGAGTTAAACCAAATAGGAAGTCATCCCCTGCTCGTGGATAATGACTTAACATTTTAGAGATGTTAGTTCTCCCAAGTTAACTTATAAATTCAAGGCAATTCCAATAAAAATACCATGTTAGTTTTATGGAGGTGGACAATAGGAAAGTCCATTTAAAAAAAGCAAGAATACTTAGGAAAACACTGATAAAGAAAACTCACAAGGCAGAACTAGACATTCCAGATATTACAACTTATTACAAAGTCCACTGTAGCGCCAACACTGTGGCACGGGACATGAACAAACTGACCAGAACAAAGTCCAGCATTGGAGCAACTACATATGGAATTCAGTACATGACGAAAACGACACCTGAAATCACTGTGGTAAAGATGTACTTTTTTAAATAAATGAGGCGGGGTCAATTTGGAAAAATAAATAATCCTACCTCACACAACACCAAAAAATCCATTCTATCATTTTTAGAAAAATGAACATAGTAAAACAGTGAGACTTATAGAAGAAAATGTAGAATATCTTCTTGCTTTCAGGATAGGCAAGTATTTTTTATACAGGAAGAGGTGTGCGGTCCATAAAGATCAGACAACAGTAATAAAGATTAGACAACACGGAATCAAAAACACAAAGAGGGCAAGCCACAGAGTGGGGGAAATACCTTAATTCATAAGGCTCACATCTGAATATATAAATCAATGAGAGAAAGACAGGTAACTTTAGATCATCTTGTCTAACTACATTTGTTGGAAAACAAATCTGCACAACCACCACTTTGGAAAATGGGCGTCATCTATGAAAACAAACGTGGGTCCCACACGGCCCAGTGACTGCAGTCTAAGGTCACCGGGAAACGTGCATTTGTGCATGTTCACAAATATTAAAATATGCTCTTAGCAGCATTTTTCACAATAGCCCAAAGTTAAAAGTAAAATGTCTACCAACATACACTATTGTCTACCAAATAGTGAAACATTCAAATACTGAAACACAATAGCTAGAGCTGTAACAATACAATATGGACCAGGGTCAGAAAACTGGGCGAATTCAGACAGACACGAAAGAACCTACACTGCACGGTTCCCTCTGCACAGCACAGAACCAAAAGCCCGGGACGTGCTGCCAAGAGCCAGAATATCGGTTTCTGTGGAAAGCAGGAAGCGTGAACCCTTTGCACGCAGCAAGACGCATCAGGGCCAGGAGTCGTGCTGCTTCTGGCCTGACTGCATGTGTGTGAGAACTGAGCCGTATGTTCATGAACTAAGCACTTTTCTGTATTTCAGTAAAACCTGTTTTTTTTTTAAAGATTTATTTTACTTATACAAGAGCCAGGGTACAGGCCAGATGTGCAGGAGGGTAAGAGGATTCACCAGAGGCGGAGCAGGAGGTAGAACAGGCAGATTGACTGAAATACACTGCTGAGGGGAGCAGTGGGCAAGACAGGAGAGGTCAGCTCGCCATGTGGGTTGCTCTGAGGCCAGCGGGGATTGAACCAGCGCTGCAGAGGCTGTGGACAGCTTCTCAGCGCTGCGCTCAACTGCCTGCACCACAAGGGAGGCCCCTAAAACCTGTTTTAAATGCTAACATACAGAAAAAGGAACTATTATATAACCAGTGTGGAAACGACTTAAATGACCCCATTTAAGCTGAACATGCACAGATCTTGGAACCCCACAATGTTACAATTCTGGAAAAATTCGCCAATTGCCAAAACACAAATTTTCTTAATGCAACACTGTTCAAAACAGGGAAAAATGAAAACTGCACACCTGCAGTAGAAAGGGTAACCAAATTGAGGTAATAATACAAAGGATCTGGGGCCTCCCTGGTGGTACAAGGGGTAAGATGCAACCTATGAAGCTGTCCACAGCCTCTGCAGCATGAGTTTGATCCCCAGCCGGCCAGAGAGCTACCCACCTGGTGCAGCAGACCTCTCCTGACTCACCCGCTGCTCCCCTCAGCAGTGTATTTCAGTCTGTCTGCCTGTTCTGTTCCCCACTCTGTCTTTGGTGAATCCTCTCACCTCCCACACCTCTGGCCTGTACCCCAGCTCTTGTATGAATAAATAAATCTTAAAAAAAAATACAAAGGATCACCAGCTAGAAGTGAAAAAGAATCAACCATATCCGTCAACAGGATAAATCTCAAGCCGCCCCCTAATAACCTGGCCACAGCTGTATCTAACTTGAAAGCTGCAGTGGTTTTCTAACCAGGTTTCTACTACCTTGTCCATCTTTAGCCTATCACCCCACAAGTCACTGATTCCTTCAAACAAAAGTTGGATAGCTGCGACGCCTCTGTTCGAAACCCTCCACTGACTTCCCGCCACACTGAGAATGAGGCAAAATCCTTCCAGTTACCCCGCCCTGCGCTCATGATCTGGACCTCACGCTCACAGCTCTGACCTCATAACCTCATGCAGCTCCCAGGCTTGCCCCACTTCCATCACTAGCCCCTCTGCTGGCCACTGGCTGTCCCAGGCACATTTCTTTGAACTGCCCCCAGCCCCTGCACACTGGGACCCCAGGAGGCAGCAACAATGGCCTGGAGCCAGGCTTCCTGAGGACGGCCTTAAGCCTTAAGTGCGGAGGAAGGCTGGGTTCTAGAATGAAGACGCTATCCTCAGTGTCTGCCCGTGGTATCGGCTCTACTTGCCTTATCACAAACCAGCTCACCCACGCAGCCCTGTCCAGCTTGTTCTTCATGCGCCACATAAAGTGGCAACATCTGGCCCCTTCTTCCTGATTGCTGCAGCCTGAGGAACATTAATTAGGGGCGCCACTGCTTGCCGGTCTACTTACCGTTTTCTTTTGAGTAAAATGACAGAATGAAACACAAGACCCCAGGTGCGTTTTCTTGGAGCTTTGACACACTCACCTGTGTGAAGTGGGGCCCTCGCGGGGTAATAGCACTTTCAACTGCTCCAGAAAGTGCCTTCAGCACCCTTCCCGGGCGATCCTGCCTCTGCTCCCAGGGAGTCGTTGCTCCCGTTTTCTCTTCATGCTAGAATAGTCTCCCCTGTTCTAGAATTTCATGTAAGTTCTAGGGAATCGATGCACTTTTGAGGATGGTCGCTTCCACCTGTGTAAAGCTTTTCCGATTTCTTCATGTCCGGTGACGCTGATCTCTGGTTTTCCGCTGGAGCCCAGCGCCTGGCGTGTGAGAAGCACCGGGGAGGAAGTGATTACACGGGTGGGTGGGTGAACGGCTGCCTGTTCTCCTGGCCCAGGTCCCTCCCTCTCTCCAGCTTCTCTTGCCACCATCCTTGGTCAGCTGAAGCTCCATCTCTTGTCATCTCTAAGACCCCCTGCTTGTGGTGCGGCCATCGGCCCTTCTGTTCGTCTCCTGTCTGGACCAGAGACCCTCCCGTCCTGCTCCCAGCCCCATGCTGTTGTCCCACGAAAGCACAGCATATCAGGCACGTGATACCATGGAAGCCCCTGGTGAACAGCCCCCAGAAACCCCCCATGGCCTGTTCTGGGGTCAGGGTTAGGCCCCAGGGACTCCTTCTTCCCAGGCAGGTAATATTTGGAACAGGAAGGGCCCGGGAACAGGAGGCCAGGAGGGAGGCTTGACCCTGACCGTGTCATTTGGGGTCTTCATGAACTTGCTCAGGGCTGACAGGTTGGAGGCAGGCGGTGGGAGGCAGGGCCTGTGGAGGGACCAGGAGTCGTGTGCCAGGACGGGGTCTCCAGGCCAGTTCCCTTGCTCTCTATGGCCCTGCTCCGAGACCCCTAGGGCCTGGGGCCTGTCCTGGGGTCCCGGGCTCCAAGGGTCTGCTCCTGCCAGGCAGGTCTTTGGAAAGTCCCGGGATGGCTCCGGATTAATCCTGGGGTCTGTTCCATCCCCCTAGTTGCAGCCAGTGCTCGCTCAGCACCATCTCAGGGGAGGGCAGGGTCCTCTCTGCCCCTGTGGTGCTGGCCATCGCTCACGACACCGGCAGGGGTTGTCAGCCTGTCTCTGCTGCCCTCAGCCTGCTGACGTCTCCATTGGTTCCGGGGAGCTGGACTAGGACCGAGAGTCCCCAGGCCAGCATTAACCCCCACCAAGCCCTGGGCCCCAGGTGCGTGCTTGGACTCTGCACCCTGACTCTCAGGGACCCCAGTGATAGCAGAAGCTTTGTTACCTCTGACCCTACCCAAATTTGCCCTGGGGGATGGCTGGGGGGGTGCACACGCCGCAAAGACCAACCGAGAGGGTGGGGCCCTCAGCTGCCTGACCTCCAGGGCAGGGGGTCAGGATGAAGCTGCCCCATGTGGCCAGGGACCTGAGCCCTCAGTCCTTGGTGGCGAACCTCCACAGACATCCTGAAACCCCACCTCAGAAGGGCTTCCCAGGGGTGGGCATGTCACCCTGTCTGTGGGGAGCCACCCGGGGGTGCTGTCTTTGATCCCCTCTTGGCCCTCACCTTGGGGTCTGCTCTATTGACTCGCCCAGATTTGTGTCCTTTAGAATAAAACTGTCTCCAGGACACTTTCCTGAGTGCTGTGGGTCATTCTAGTGAATTATGGAGCCAGAGGCTTCATGAGAACCCCCCGAGTTTGTAGTCGGTTGGTCAGAGGCTGGGCAGTCCATCTAGGGGTCCTGGGCCTGTGGGAGTCCATCAGGCGGCCTTGCTGGGAGCTGAGCCTCTGTCTGCCGGCAACGCCCCACAGGGCCGTCACCCCACAGCTGCCTGCAGTGCTGCGGGAGCCCGTCCTGGGGGGCCTGGCTGGGCCTCAGAGCAACCGCAGGTGCCCTGTAGAGTGGGCGGAGAGGGACTTACAGAGCAGGACAGTTTGGCCACGAGGCCAGAGGCCGCCCCCTGGCCTAGGAGACAGAGCATGGGCCGTGAGCCAGGAGGGGAGCAGGCGGCTCTTGAAGCTGGAGAAAACGAGGCCACACATCCCCCCCTGGAGCTGCAGGGCAGCTCTGGCGCTGGTGACCCCTTGCTGGGGTCACTTCTGACTCCAGACGGGGAGGGTAAGTGTGTGTTGGTCCCAGCGGCCCAGTCAGAGGGAAGGCCTCGCACCAGGAGGCCTCCCCTTCTCCGCGCTGCCTGCACGGACCCGGCAGTCCAGCAGATCTTCGTCTGTCCTGGACTCAGGCGGCTCCCGGGCCTGGGGCTCCGGCTTTAGCCGCAGCGGGAGCTGCCTGGGAATCCGAGGCTGTCTGGCTAAGGAGCTAGACGAGCTGTCAGACCAGGAGCTTGGTGGCTACTCCCTCTTCCTGCTCGGTGATGCTCTCAGCAAGGCGGCCCGGGCCCCAGAGTCCGTGCCTCTGGACTCACTCAGCTGCCCCACCTCTCCCCTCCGTCTCTGCTGGAAATTCTGGGAGAGCCCCAGGCCTCCAGGATAGGAGCGGGAAACTTGGGGAGTGCAGGGTGAATTCACATCAAAAGTCCCTATGGATAAAGCCAGGCTGCACCAAAGGCCCCAGTGGGTTCTGTTGTATTAACACCCCCAAACACCCTCTGTCCTCAGGATCGTGCGTGTTTATTGCCTGAGTCTAACCTGGACACACCCCGGGTCCAAACGGAGCATGTGTCTGGCATGTGCCCTGTAAGCCCCGGAATCCAACCCTCAGCCAGGCCTGGGTTAGCCGGCTCACCCCGATCTGCCCAAAGCGCGTGCCCAGGGTGCTGACCTGTCCCGCTCCCCAAGTCCTTCCGTCACTGGCAGCTGAGCGGGTCTGTCCATCCACTGGGCGCCCTGGACCTTGCTCAGGGGCGCGGGGCTCTCGCGCCCCGCCGGTACGGCGGTCACCATCTTGGAGGAAGTGGAGAGCGGACAGGCCAGGGGGCTCCACCCACCACTGCCCGTGCGCTCCCTCAGGTGCTGTGAGGTGAGCCGCTAAGTCAGCTGCTCTCAGCGTGAGGGGAACTGAGCTCTTCCTTCCAGAGGCAGGCGAGTAAATCATATGTGACCATGTGTTAAAGGGACCATGGTAATTAGTAAATATCCTGGGGCAGGACATACTCTGAGGTGACGAAAATCTTCCACTTCTCCGAAATCTTATCCTTTCTGTGGCCTCCATCCTTGGCTGCTGGCTGCAGTAATGATTAGCATGTAACCCTGGTACTTCCCCATTTCCTTCATTCCTCCTACAGTTGTTCATTGAGATCATTCTATGAGGAAGGCCAAATTGATGGTTCCAGTAGGCTTTGCAGCCCAGAGAAGCTTTAGGTTCACAGCAAAATCACGACAATCATACATCATGTTCCCTGCACACGGGCGTGGCCGCACTCGCTCCCAGGGCCCTGCGCCAGAGCAGAGCCTCTACTCCCATCCCTGCGCTGCCACACACGTGCTGAGCATCTGGGTGTACAACACACCCTCGCTCACGCTCTCGGCAGCATCCCTGATAATGATCAGAAGGTGAAAGTAACCACCGTCGGCAGCAGAGGGGTGATAAACATGCCTGCATACATGTCCTAGATGGGTCATTCACAGCATCCCTGTGTGGGTCCCTTTTTGAAAAAAGGATAATTTCAATCTAATCATGGAAAAAACCCAGATGATTGAAATTGAGAGACAGTCAATAGACTAATTGATGGGGATTAATTAAAAAAAAAGTCTAGGGCACCAAAGACAGAAAAGACGGTCACAGAGCAGGGAGACTAAGGAGACATGACAAGGAAACGCTCTGCAGCATCTGGAGCCAAAAAAGGACCAAGTCAGGGCTGTAGTTTATTTATTTACTTTTAAAGATTTATTTATTCATGTATACAGGAACCAGGGTACAGGCCAGATCCGCGGGAGGGTGAGAGGACTCACCAGAGACAGAGCGGGGAACAGAACGGGCAGACTGACTGAAATACACTGCTGAGGGGAGCAGCGGGGAGACAGGAGAGGTCTGCTGCGCCAGTGGGATTCTCGCCGGCAGGCCAGGATGGAACCTGAGCTGCACAGGCTGCGTCCAGGACAGCTTCACAGCGCTGCGCTCAACCTGCTGCGCCACCAGGGGAGGCCCCAGGTCTGTAGTTGAGTTACTCATTACATCTCCGCGCTTCCTGGTTTTGACAAGATACTGTGCTTCTTGAGTCCACAGGGGAGGAAGTTGGCTGAAGAGTGTATGGAAGGCGCGCAGACCTCTCCTGCCGCCCGCTGCTCCCCTCAGCAGTGTACTTCGGTCCTTCTGCCTGCTCTGCTCCCCGCTCTGGCTCTGGTGAATTCTCTCACCCTCCCGCGCTTCTGACTGTACCCACTGCTTGTATAAATAAATAAATCTTAAAAAAAAAAGAGTGTATGGAAGCTCTGGGACTATTTTTCCAACTTTTCTGGAAGTCTAAAATTATTTCAAAGTACAAAGTAAAAGAAGTACCTGCTCCTCTAACTCATAACTTTTTTTGTGTGTGTGGGACCCTTGCTGGCGGCCGGGGAACACACTGGTGCTGCAGAGGCTGCAGGCAGCCTCGCAGCCCAGTGCTCAACTGCTGCACCACCAGGGGAGGCCCAAACTCATAAGTTTTTATGACGGAGGGCGGTTTATATTTAGTCTGTGTTTTAGTGTGTTCTCCCTCCGCTGACACCGGGCTGGGGGCACAGTGTGCTCCCCTTGGGAGGAGGTCCAAGGCAGGGGGAAGTGAGGCGGAAGGGAAGGGAACACAGAAGGGTGTGTTCACAAGCAAGCCAGCTTTGCGGGTCTGCAGGCCCAGTCCTGCTTCCCCAAGGGCCAGCGGGGGCTTGAGCCGCTCATTCACACCAGTCATGGAAAGGGCTGCTCTGGGGCCGTGGGGGTCATCATTCTCTGACATCCTGGCCACCTTGCATGTGAGCAGGGAGGCTCCACTGACATTCAGGGGCTACCGCTGGACGTGGGGGCATCTCACCAGACATGTTGCCTGTATCAGTCAGCTTAGGCCGCACGGTGCCACAGGAACGACAAGCCCCATGCAGATCAGAGCAACAGAAGCGATTTCTTGCTCATGTTCCAGGGCCATG